CAAGGAGATCGATTGGGAGATACTTGACCCACATGGGGGCCAAGATACATGGAGGGCTAAGATGATGGAGGTGGTACTGGAGAACTTCATGTACCAACACGTAAGGGACACTACAAGAGAGAGAGGAGAGGATGAACCAGCAAGGCTGGACTTAGTATTCACCTTCAGTAGTGCAGATATCGAGGACATCGCATATGAAAGACCCCTTGGGGCCAGTGACCATGTGTTTTAAGCTTCGAATACACAGTAGAGCTACAAGTGGAGGGAGAAGCAGGAAGGCCAGGACGAATGAAGCCAAACTACAAGAAAGGGGACTACACAGGAATGAGGAAACTACCTGACGGGGTTCAGTGGAACAGAGAACTGCAGGGAAGCCAGTTAATGAGATGATGGAATATGTAGCAACAAAATGCAAGGAGGCTGAGGAGAGGTTTGTACCCAAGGGTAACAGGAGTAATGAAAAAGCCAGGATGAGCCCATGGTTTACCCAAAGGTGCAGGGAGGCAAAAACAAGTGTGCTAGGGAATGGAAGAAATATAGAAGGCAAAGGACCCAGGAGAATAAGGAGAACAGTCGTAGAGCCAGAAACGAATATGCACAGATAAGAAGGGAGGCCCAAAGACAATATGAAAATGACATAGCAGCGAAAGCCAAATCTGACCGAAACTGTTGTACAGCCACATCAGGAGGAAAACAACAGTCAAGGACCAGGTAATCAGGCTAAGGAAGGAAGAGGAGAGACAACAGGAAATGACCGTGAAGTATGTGAAGAACTCAACAAGAGATTCAAAGAAGTGTTCACAGAGGAGACAGAAGGGACTCCAGAAAGACGGAGAGGTGGGGCACACCACCAAGTGCTGGACACAGTGCACACAACCGAGGAAGAAGTGAAGAGGCTTCTGAGTGAGCTAGATACCTCAAAGGCAATGGGGCCAGATAACATCTCCCCATGGGTATTGAGAGAGGGAGCAGAGGCGCTATGTGTACCCCTAACAACAATATTCAATACATCTATCGAAACAGGGAGATTGCCTGAGGCATGGAAGACAGCAAATGTAGTCCCAATCTTTAAAAAAGGAGACAGACATGAAGCACATAAACTACAGACCAGTGTCACTGACATGTATAGTATGCAAAATCATGGAGAAGATTATCAGGAGAAGAGTGGTGGAACACCTAGAAAGGAACGATCTCATCAACAGCAGCCAGCATGGTTTCAGGGACGGGAAATCCTGTGTCACAACCTACTGGAGTTCTATGACATGTGGACAGCAGTAAGACAAGAGAGAGAGGGGTGGGTGGATTGCATTTTCTTGGACTGCAAGAAGGCGTTTGACACAGTTCCACACAAGAGATTGGTGCAAAAACTGGAGGACCAAGCAGGGATAACAGGGAAGGCACTACAATGGATCAGGGAATACTTGTCAGGAAGACAGCAGCGAGTCATGGTACGTGGCGAGGTGTCAGAGTGGGCACCTGTGACCAGCGGGGTCCCGCAGGGGTCAGTCCTAGGACCAGTGCTGTTCCTGGTATTTGTGAACGACATGACGGAAGGAATAGACTCTGAGGTGTCCCTGTTTGCAGATGACGTGAAGTTGATGAGAAGAATACACTCGATCGAAGACCAGGCAGAACTACAAAGGGATCTGGACAGGCTGCAGACCTGGTCCAGCAATTGGCTCCTGGAGTTCAATCCCACCAAGTGCAAAGTCATGAAGATTTGGGGAAGGGCAAAGAAGGCCGCAGACGGAGTACAGTCTAGGGGGTCAGAGACTACAAACCTCACTCAAGGAAAAAGATCTTGGGGTGAGTATAACACCAGGCACATCTCCTGAAGCGCACATCAACCAAATAACTGCTGCAGCATATGGGCGCCTAGCAAACCTCAGAACAGCATTCCGACATCTTAATAAGGAATCGTTCAGGACCCTGTACACCGTATACGTTAGGCCCATATTGGAGTATGCGGCACCAGTTTGGAACCCACACCTAGCCAAGCACGTAAAGAAACTAGAGAAAGTGCAAAGGTTTGCACAAGACTAGTCCAGAGCTAAGAGGTATGTCCTACGAGGAGAGGTTAAGGGAAATCAACCTGACGACACTGGAGGACAGGAGAGATAGGGGGGACATGATAACGACATACAAAATACTGAGGGGAATTGACAAGGTGGACAAAGACAGGATGTTCCAGAGATTGGACACAGTAACAAGGGGACACAGTTGGAAGTAAAAGACACAGATGAATCACAGGGATGTTAGGAAGTATTTCTTCAGCCACAGAGTAGTCAGTAAGTGGAATAGTTTGGGAAGCGATGTAGTGGAGGCAGGATCCATACATAGCTTTAAGCAGAGGTATGATAAAGCTCACGGCTCGGGGAGAGTGACCTAGTAGCGATCAGTGAAGAGGCGGGGCCAGGAGCTCGGACTCGACCCCCGCAACCTCAACTAGGTGAGTACTAGGTGAGTACACACACACACACAAACACACACACACACACACACGGAACAAGAGTATAAACGCTAACCAGCACGGATTTATGGAAGGCAAATCCTGTGTCACAAGCCTTCTAGAGTTTTATGATAAAGTAACAGAAGTAAGACACGAGAGAGGGGTGGGTTGACTGCATTTTCTTGGACTGCAAGAAGGCCTTCGACACAGTTCCTCTCGAGAGATTAGTGCAGAAGCTAGAGCATCAGGCGCGTATAACAGGAAGGGCACTGCACTGGATCAGAGAATACCTGACAGGGAGGCAACAGCGAGTCATGGTCCGTGATGAGGTATCACAGTGGGCACCTGTGACGGGCGGGGTCCCACAGGGGTCGGTCCTAGGACCAGTGCTATTTTTGTATATGTGAATGACATGACGGAAGGGATAGACTCAGAGGTGTTCCTATTCGCAGATGTGAAGTTAATGAGGAGAATCAAATCAGATGAGGATCAGGCAGGACTTCAAAGAGACCTGGACAGGCTGGACACCTGGTCCAGCAACTGACTTCTCGAATTTAACCCTGCCAAATGCAAAGTCATGAAGATAGGGGAAGGGCAAAGAAGACCGCAGACAGAGTATAGGCTAGGTGGCCAACGACTGCAAACCTAGCTCAAGGAGAAAGATCTTGGGGTGAGTATAACACCGAGCGTGTCTCCGGAAGCACACATCAACCAGATAGCTGCTGCAGCATAAGGGCGCCTGGCAAACCTGAGAACAGCGTTCCGATACCTTAGTAAGGAATCATTCAAGGCACTGTACACCGTGTACGTCAGACCTATACTGGAGTATGTAGCACCAGTTTGGAACCCACATCTGGTGGGGAATGTCCTATGAAGAAAGGTTAAGGGCAATCGGCCTGACTACACTGGAGGACAGGAAGGTTAGGGGAGACATGATAACGGCATACAAAATACTGCGTGGAATATACAAGGTGGACAGAGACAGGATGTTCCAGAGATGGGACACAGAAACAAGGGGCCACAATTAGAAGTTGAAGACTCAGATGAGTCAGAGGGATGTTAGGAAGCATTTCTTCAGTCATAGAGTTGTCAGGAAGTGAAATAGCCTAGCAAGTGACGTAGTGGAGGCAGAAACCATACACAGCTTTACGATGAGATATGATAAAGCTCATGGAGCAGGGAGAGAGAGGACCTAGCAGCACTCAGTGAAGAGGCGGGGCCAGGAGCTGAGTCTCGACCCCTGCAACCACAATTACGTGAGTACAATTAGGAGAGTACACACACACACACACTCACTCACAACAGCCACATTCTATTCTACTGAACTCTTATGAAGCGCTAAACCCGTGCGGGGCATTGAGCGCAAGGAGTGCTGGAGGCTCGATCCTCCGTCTGCCGAGAGAGATGGACGAAATGTAGCGCTACAGACGAGTGTGAAGCCAATGACTCTAGTTTCAGTAACGAGGTTTTTCATTGTGGGAGTGACATTTCGCTCTGTGTAGAGCTTTATTAAATTATGTTTCGCTCCGTGTAGAGCTTATCAAGTGATGTTTCGCTCGGAGTAGAGCCTTAAATTATGTCAATGTTTCGCTCTGTGTAAGGCTTTATTAAGTCATGTCCCTGGATAAACTCTACACTGGGCGAAGAGCGACTTGATGCACCTCCTCAGAAGGGCGAAACGTTGTCTCAGTGGAAGTTTGTTCTGCCACACTGGTTCAGAATTTATGCTGATACATATAAAAGAAATTATTATTATTAATATTATTATTATTATTATTATTATTATTATTATTATTATTATTATTATTATTATTATTATTATTATTATTATTATTATTATTATTATTGTTGTTGTTATTATTAGTTTCATTGTTATTATTATTATTATTATTATTATTATTATTATTATTATTATTATTATTATTATTATTGTTGTTGTTGTTATTATTGTTAATGCTATTATTATTATGGTTATAATTATTATTATTATTATTATTATTATTATTATTATTATTATTATTATTATTATTGCTATTATTATATTAATATTTTTATTTGTAGTAGTAGTAGTAGTAGTAGTAGTAGTAGTAGTAGTAGTAGTAGTAGTAGTAGTAGTAGTAGTAGTAAGTAGTAGTAGTAGTAGCAGTAGTAGTAGTAGTAGTAGTAGTAGTTAGTAGTAGCAGTAGTAGTAGTAGTAGTAGTAGTAGCAGTAGTAGTAGTAGTAGTAGTATAGTAGTAGTAGTAGTAGTAGTAGTAGTAGTAGTAGTAGTAGTAGTAAGTAGTAGTAGTAGTAGCAGTAGTAGTAGTAGTAGTAGTAAGTAGTAGTAGTAGTAGTAGTAGTAGTAGTAGTAGTAGTAGCAGCAGTAGTAGTAGTAGTAGTAGTAGTAGTAGCAGTAGTAGTAGTAGTAGTAGTAGTAGTAGTAGTAGTAGTAGTAGTAGTAGTAGCAGCAGTAGTAGTAGTAGTAGTAGTAGTAGTAGCAGTAGTAGTAGTAGTATTTACTGGAAAGCGCCAAACCCTCATGGACTTAGCGCCGGAGATGAATTTGCTCACCGCAGAGAGCGGAGGTGTCAGGCTGGAGTCGCGTGTCATCTATGGAAGAGGTGACCTCGTTGGAGGTCACCTGTAGACGACCCACGAATTTGTTGGGGTCAAGGATGTCCTCCACGGAGAAGGAGGTGTGTTTCGCCCCCGGCGAGGTCTCGGTGTGATGTTTCGCCTCTCTCTGGTAGGACTCCGGGATGCTGTCCTCGCTTTGAAGCGAATTTTGCTGACTTTCTGGCGATCTGACGGAGGTGTCTGTGAGGGGCGATCTGAGGGAGGGAGTGCCGCTAGTGCCGCTGGTGCTGGTCGGGTGCCGCTGGGAGTCGGTGCTGAATTTACCGACGACGGTGTAAGTCAGATCCATCGGTGATGTGCTGGTGGCGATCAGTGGCGAGGCGGCGGCCGCCGACCCATCGGTGTGTCCCTTGCTGCTGCTCCTCGGCAGAACCGAATCGGGCGAAATGGACCTCGAATCCATGTTGGCGAAACCTCCCGCGACACTTTGTAATTCAGCACTTCATGGCTTTTCCCCTCTCACACGGGTTATTTCAGAGTCACAGAGGGTAGCGTCACTACCCACGTCCGTACGTGTCGGCTTCCAGCAAGCCACTAAGCTCTCCTCTCCTCCGTCAGATGATATATTTGATGTTGCTAAACAACTGCCGAGCCATGGGGCGAGTTTACCAAATGAGGCTTCACCCAACTTAATGACGACAGTAATTGGCTACTGAAATCCCTACTTATCTAAACACACTTGCCATTGGTCCAGAGAGATTGATCCGTGATACACACCCGCCGTCGATTGGCCGCCGCGGCGCTAGGGGACGTGAGAGGCGGCAGTCGATTGGCCGAGGAGGATTGTTTACAGAGGGCGGCTGTGATCCGGCTGGTGATTGGCTGAGGGTGACTGCAGAGGAGGAGGGATGCTAAAAGAATCATCACCCTCGGTTAATGATGATGCGAAAATACGATTACCTCGTCAAGAATTCCATTTCACACCTACGTTACCCCCAGAGCTTCTCGACTTGTCGGCAGGAAACGCCACTCAGGCCCCAGACAGGGATAATTCTCTCGCCTCAGCTAGCATTCAACCCCTGACTTAGAGCACAGCCTCCGTGGACAACACCACCAAACTTTACTCACTTAACCACTCTCAAGCACTTTGTTTGGGCTTGGGTAACCACAGCGAGGGGGAAGAGAGAGGAAGGGGGAGGGGAGAGGGGGAAGAGCAGCTCATTAACCAAGGAGTGGCGGAGAGAGAGGGGAAAAGAGAGAGAGAGAGAGAGAGAGGGGAGAGGTTGATCTGTGGCTGGTGGTGTGTGTAAGGTTATCAAACGAGATTAACTCTGCCAAGATTATTATCTTCCCCACGCTGTTTGTTTCTTCCCCAGGGTTTTAATTAACGCGCAAACCAGGCGGCAGTTTTAACAGGGGAGGGGGAGAGAGAGGGGGTGGCGAGGAGGAGGGTGAAGGAGAAAGAGGAGGTTAGAAGGGTAAAAAGGCAGAATTAGATCAGCGTAGAAGAGGTTGTTTGGGAGGCAGAGAGACGTGTCCAGGTGCCGGAGACGTGTCTAGGTGTAGGAGACGTGTCTAGGTGTAGGAGACATGTCCAGGTGTAGACGTACTTTGGAGTAGGAGACGTGTCCAGGTGTAGGAGACGTGTCTAGGTGTAGGAGACGTGTCTAGGTGTAGGAGACGTGTCTAGGTGTAGACGTACTTTGGAGTAGGAGACGTGTCCAGGTGCCGGAGACGTGTCTAGGTGTAGGAGACGTGTCTAGGTGTAGGAGACGTGTCTAGGTGTAGACGTACTTTGGAGTAGGAGACGTGTCCAGGTGTAGGAGACGTGTCTAGGTGTAGACGTACTTTGGAGTAGGAGACGTGTCCAGGTGTAGGAGACGTGTCTAGGTGTAGACGTACTTTGGAGTAGGAGACGTGTCCAGGTGCCGGAGACGTGTCTAGGTGTAGACGTACTTTGTAGTAGGAGACGTGTCCAGGTGTAGGAGACGTGTCTAGGTGTAGACGTACTTTGTAGTAGGAGACGTGTCCAGGTGTAGGAGACGTGTCTAGGTGTAGACGTACTTTGGAGTAGGAGACGTGTCCAGGTGTAGGAGACGTGTCTAGGTGTAGGAGACGTGTCCAGGTGAAGGTAGATAGAGAGAGAGAGAGACAGGTGACAATGTAGGGAAAACAGGATCTAGAAATGGGGAAGAGGGAGAGGAGCATTAGGAGGACAGGGAGAGAGAAGGGATATGGGAGAGAGGGGGTAGATGAAGTGGAGGGATAATCCTTAAAGAGGGAAGCTAAAGAGAAATTAGGATGATTTCAGGGAAGAATGAGGATAAGGCAGAAAGAATGGGATTATACGAGTGTTGTGATGGCTGGGTTACCTGTGGGTTACCTGTGGGTTACCTGTGGGTTACCTGTGGGTTACCTGTGGGTTACCTGTGGGTTAATTGTTTTTCAGGGGGTCATCGCCCCCGTGGCCCGATCCAAGACCAGGAATGTTTATTGCCTTCCTGATCAATGAGACTGTTGGTGTCCGTCGTCAGCACCCCAGAGTATGCACCAGTGCCCAGCTGATCAGGAACTGATCTGAGTTACTTATCGATTTCCCTCTTGAAGGGCAGTCAGGGGTCTGCTGGAAAGGCCCCTTATGAAGGGAGGGTGTTACAGAGTCGTGGTCCCCTTACACTAGTTCTCTCTCTGTGTACACAACACTACCGTCCCTGCGTTTTACCAGAGGTACCTTGTACGTCTATGGGTGGGACTCACTAGCTTTGAGAAGGATTTGCCTTGTATGGGCCAGTAGGCCTGCTGCAATCCTCCAGGTGTAGATTATAACGTATCTTTATCGCCCATCTTCTAAGGAGTACAGTTTTATTGAGGCACTCGATGAACCCGTAAGTAGGGCGAAACGTCCTCTAACTCGTCTCCCTGTCTTCAGGCCACACAAAAATACTCGACTGAATTCCAGTGAAAAGTGAATGAGTTTTTTTTTTTTTTTGAAAATTTCCAAAAAATATCATTTTTACACTAAATTTTAATAAACATCAGATATTTACACTAAATTTACAATAAACACCAGATATTTACACTAAATTTACAATAAACACCAGATATTTACACTAAATTTATAATAAACTTCCACAGTATTTACACTAAATTTACCAATAAACATAGATATTTACAGTAAAATTTATAATAACCCCAACCAGAATATTTTTACACTAAATTTTGAAGAATTGAGACACTATGCACAATATGGGAACTCTTTATTGAAGAGAACGTTTCGCATCACAGTGGCTCATCAGTCCAATACAAAGTAGGTAAAGTGGGTAAGCGATGAATTGAAGTTTGAGGTAATCAGTCCCTCAACTGGAATCGATGTTTTCAATCCATCAACTTGAAGATTGAGCATAGGCCATAGGGAGATGCTTATATATGGAGATGAGTACGTCCAGAAAGGGCGGGTCTACAGTGGGACCTGCCCACTAGTGTTAGTAGGTCGTGTCCAAACGTTGGGCAAGCGTTGAAGTATTTGTACCAGATCCCATGATGTTGCAGTGTCTGACAGATGTTGAACTGGTTTTGAAAACCGACACAATGAAGAATTGAGCATTATGCACATATGGGAATCTTTATTATTACTCAAACTTTTACTCTCCTTACCACTTACTTTGATTGGACTGATTGAAAGCCACGTGTGGCGAACGTTCTTCAATAAAGAAATTCCTATGTTGCATAAGTGTCTCATTCTTCACTTGTCGGTTTTCAAAACCTTCATTTACACTAAATTTTAAATATTTTAATTTTTTATTATCACACCGCGATTCCCTACCAAGGCAGGGTGGCCCGAAAAGAAAAACTTCACCATCATTCACTCCATCACTGCTTGCCAGAAGGGTTGCTTAATCACTGTTCTATAAACTGCAACTTATGCCACCTCCTCAGATGCAGGCACGTACTTCCATCTCCAGGAACTCAAGTTCGGCCTGCCATTCACTCCTATCAAACACGCTCACGCATGCCTGCTGGAAGTCCAAGCCCCTCGCACACAAAACCTCCTTTACCCCCTCCCTCCAACCCTTCCTAGGCCGACCCCTACCCCGCCTTCCTTCCACTACAGACTGATACACTCTTGAAGTCATTCTGTTTCGCTCCATTCTCTCTACATGTCCGAACCACCTCAACAACCCTTCCTCAGCCCTCTGGACAACAGTTTTGGTAATCCCGCACCTCCTCCTAACTTCCAAACTACGAATTCTCTGCATTATATTCACACCACACATTGCCCTCAGACATGACATCTCCACTGCCTCCAGCCTTCTCCTCGCTGCAACATTCATCACCCACGCTTCACACCCATATAAGAGCGTTGGTAAAACTATACTCTCATACATTCCCCTCTTTGCCTCCAAGGACAAAGTTCTTTGTCTCCACAGACTCCTAAGTGCACCACTCACTCTTTTTTCCCTCATCAATTCTATGATTCACCTCATCTTTCATAGACCCATCCGCTGACACGTCCACTCCCAAATATCTGAATACGTTCACCTCCTCCATACTCTCTCCCTCCAATCTGATATTCAATCTTTCATCACCTAATCTTTTTGTTTATCCTCATAACCTTACTCTTTCCTGTATTCACCTTTAATTTTCTTCTTTTGCACACCCTACCAAATTCATCCACCAATCTCTGCAACTTCTCTTCAGAATCTCCCAAGAGCACAGTGTCATCAGCAAAGAGCAGCTGTGACAACTCCCACTTTGTGTGTGATTCTTTATCTTTTAACTCCAGCCTCTTGCCAAGACCCTCGCATTTACTTCTCTTACAACCCCATCTATAAATATATTAAACAACCACGGTGACATCACACATCCTTGTCTAAGGCCTACTTTTACTGGGAAAAAATTCCCCTCTTTCCTACATACTCTAACTTGAGCCTCACTATCCTCGTAAAAACTCTTCACTGCTTTCAGTAACCTACCTCCTACACCATACACTTGCAACATCTGCCACATTGCCCCCCTATCCACCCTGTCATACGCCTTTTCCAAATCCATAAATGCCACAAAGACCTCTTTAAGCCTTATCTAAAATACTGTTCACTTATATGTTTCACTGTAAACACCTGGTCCACACACCCCCTACCTTTCCTAAAGCCTCCTTGTTCATCTGCTATCCTATTCTCCGTCTTACTCTTAATTCTTTCAATTATAACTCTACCATACACTTTACCAGGTACACTCAACAGACTTATCCCCTATAATTTTTGCACTCTCTTTTATCCCCTTTGCCTTTATACAAAGGAACTATGCATGCTCTCTGCCAATCCCTAGGTACCTTACCTCTTCCATACATTTATTAAATAATTGCACCAACCACTCCAAAACTATATCCCCACCTGCTTTTAACATTTCTATCTTTATCCCATCAATCCCGGCTGCCTTACCCCCTTTCATTTTACCTACTGCCTCACGAACTTCCCCCACACTCACAACTGACTCTTCCTCACTCCTACAAGATGTTATTCCTCCTTGCCCTATACACGAAATCACAGCTTCCCTATCTTCATCAAACATTTAACAATTCCTCAAAATATTCCTTCCATCTTCCCAATACCTCTAACTCTCCATTTAATAACTCTCCTCTCCTATTTTTAACTGACAAATCCATTTGTTCTCTAGGCTTTCTTAACTTGTTAATCTCACTCC